CTATGCATGGTGTCAGATGGGTAATAGACTTAGGGTGATTACTTCATAAGTTATATAAATGTCTAATCACTATGTTGTACACCTGAAACTAACATAATATTGTATGCGAATTGAAAAAATTATTAAAAAACAAAATTCATTAAAAAATAAAAAATTTTATTAAAAAATTTAGTTATATTCTACTTCTAAGAAGTACATATATTTATAAGTATTTGTTGTTCCGAATGGCAAGATTTCCTTTTTATGGCTAAATAATATTTCACTGATATATATATATATACATACACATATATATATACACATATATATCCATTTATCTGTTAATGGACATTTTCTTTATCTATCTGTTGATAGACATTAGATCTAAAAGTTCTCATCACAGAAAAATAAATTTGAAACTATGTAAGGTGACAGACATTAATGAAACTTAATGAGGTAATCATTTTGTAATACACACACACACACACACACACACGTCAAATAATTATGTTGCACACCTTAAACTGATACAAAATTATATATTTAGAACAACTACAAAATATGCACTTTTGAAGTGCACATGAAATATTTACCGAAATTGACCATATAATGGGATCAAGCAAATCTTAGCAAATTTCAAAGGATAAAGTCATATAGTACATGTTCTAAAGATAATAAAAGTAAGCTAGAAAGCAATAATGAAAAGATAATAAACATTTTTAAATGTTTGGAAATTAAATGGCACATTTCTAAACGACCCATGAGTTAAAGAAGAAATCACAATGGAAATCAGAGAGTATTTTGAACTGAATGATTATGAACAAAATTTCAGAGGTACAGCCAAAGCTGTGCCTAGTTAAAAATTTAGAGCCTTAGTGCTCTAAAAGGAAGCCTGAAAAAAAAAATCAATGAAAATATCAATTTCAAGAAGTTAGAAAAAAGACAGCAAATTAAATCCAAAGAAAGTATAGACCTAATAAAGAAAAGAGCAGAAATTAATGAAATAGAAAACAAATATAAAATAGAGAAAATCAATAAAGCCCAAAACTGATCCTTGATAGAACTTTGGCAAGACTGTTCAAGAAAATAAGAGAAAAGCCATATGCAAAAAGTAATAAATACTACTAAAAATTCTACCTATATTGAAAGACAATAGAGGATATAAAATTTTTTTTGACAATTTTTTTGAAACAAACAAAAACATGTTACCCAAATCGACACAAGAAGAATATAGTTATTTTCATATTTTCCTTAATGTTATTTAAAAATCTCTCGCCAAGAAAACTTTAGGCCAATGGTTTCACCTGTGACTTCTTTCATATATTTAAGAAAGAAATAATACCAATTTTACATAAACTCTTCCAAAGAACAGATACATAAATAACAGTTCCCAGCTCCTTTAATGAAGCTAGTATAACCCTGTTACCAAAACTCCACAAGGAAAATGATAGGCCAATATTTCTCAGGAAATTAGATGCAAATATTTGAAAAAATATTAGCAACTGAATCTAGTGATATGTAACTAATACATCAAGACCAAGTTGGATTTATTCCAAGAATACAGTTGGTTTAACATTTAAAAATCAACATAATTCACCATAGTCAAAAAATAAAGCTGGAACATTATGATTATCACAAAAAAGCAACTGATAAAACCTAACACCAGTTCATGATACAAATTTTCATTAAGACAGGAACAGAAAGGAACTTTAATTTGATAAAGCATACCTACAAAAAAATCTCAGAGCAAACATCATACTTAGGGATATTACATTGAAAATTTCCCAAGACTGGGATTGAGTCAAGGATGTCCACTGTCACCATTTCTATTCCATACTGTACTGGAGATTTAGCCAATTCAATAAGAAGGGGTAAAAAAAAAAGCCAAAAGGTAAATTACATGAGCAGACTGAGCTCTGGGTATGGGATAAGGGGGCAGGACAGGGGCAACAGGGCAGGCGGAGCGTGGGGGAGAAATCTGAACCCATTTCAAATTGTAAAGCACTATACCTTAAATTCCTATCTTAAGCTTCTCTGATCCTCCTTACAAACTTGTAGGTTAGAAGAAGCAGGTACTACTTACCTCTACTTTGAAGATGACATACTAAAGCTCACAGAAGTAAACTTATTAGTCTAAGTTCACTCTTTAAGAAGCAAAAGGCAATATGGGGATTGACACAAGAAGTGAGTGTTTAAATATATTTCTTTTCAATATGTTATCTCACAGAAAGGGAGCTAGAAAAGTTCAAAGGGAGATTTTGTCCAGAACTTGCTATTAGATCTCTCAAAGTTACATGAAGTTGCCATTTAACTCTCTAGAATTTGTTTTTCTTCCATATCTAGGAATTTGGAAACATGGTAAGCTGAAATGGCAGACAAGTTCTCTCTGACATGAAATGCACAGAAATGCCATAAAATATAAAATAAATGAATAAATAAAGAAGACACATTCAAAAGAAAGAATGGGAAATTCCCAGAAGCCAGAAATGAAGAAAGAACTTAAAATCAGAGTGAGAAATGGGAACTGACCTAGATTCAGATATAGTTTCAGGGGCTGGTCCCTGGAGTTTTAGTGCCCATCCAGGAATAGAGATCTGTTTTCCAGCTTTTATATGTGGGTAAATGACAAAGACAAAACTGTATTTCCCTTCAGAAATCTAGACTGTTGATGAGCTGCCCAGTCAGTAAAAGGGAATAGGAAAAACTCTATCCACTAGCTCAGAAAAGCAGAAAAGACTTTGTCAGGAACCTCAGGTAGGGTGGCAGAGAGTAGATAAAAGGTCTGCAAAAAATGAAAACCTCAGGCCCATGTTACAATCAGATATTAGGGGAAACATGATCTAGATGGCAAGGAAACCCTAGCTGAGAAATTTTAAGGACCACTGAAAACCCAAGGGCTCTGACAGCAACAGAATTAAAAGGCACAGCATATAGGACTTCCACAAGAGGAAAAAAAATCCCGCTGAAGATATGATCATCTTCGAAGAATTACAAACCATACAAAAAGACACATTTTCATAGAGTCAAGATATATAGCAAGTAGGATATCTATTACCCACCCTGAAAAAAAAAAGAACGATCCAAAAGAAACCATAACATAGTATGTTTAAATAGTATGTTTAAAATGATTAAAAAAGAAGTAGAAGAAAAAAGAAAAAAAAGTAAAAACAAAAAAAAGTAAAAAGAAGAAAAGTAAAACCATAACGAAAGGTCAGGATATTTTGAAAATTTTTGATATTTGAAAAAGAATCAAAAAGAACATCTAAAAATTATAGTTACTAACATAAAAAATTGAGTAGATATAGTAAAAAGCAGATTAGACACAGGTAAAGAGATTCTTAGTTAACTGGAAGGTAGACAGTACTATATTATCCAGAATGTACCAAGGAGAAAGAAAGAATAAAAAACATGGAAGTGCAGTTAAAAGATATAGAGGACAAAAATCTAACAGAAGTTGAAAAAAAAGAGAATGAAGGATGACAAACATTTTGAAAAATGAAGACAGGCATGAGAAGAACAACTTCTGAATAGGATGACTAAAAGCTAATCCACACCTGGATATAGGTTAGCAAAACTACAGAACATTAAAGATTACAAAAAAAATATTTTAAAAGCAACTAGAGAGAAGAAATTATCTTAAAAAGTAATAATTATTAGTCTGACAAGATTCTTTTTTACTTTCAAAAAATTATTTTAATCTGGTTCTGAAACCTAACCGAACTTTTTATCATTTTACTATTTGTGCAAGAACTCTCAGAATGTATAACTAATTGAACTACTTGCATGCATAAGAAATTTCCAATGAAAACATGTTTTATATTTTTCAAAAAGCAGGCTCTGCAGTCATACTACAGCACCTTGAGGAATAGCTTAAGGAAGAGAATATTTCTTCTTTACAATAACATGTTTACTTTTTATTTGTCTAGTTCCTGGTGATGCCCCAATGATACAATATATTTGATGTATTTGATAGACACTCATTTGAAGAATTTTCTTGCAAACTTGACATAGGAAAGGTTTCACCTAAATTAACATGGTTGTTGACATTTGGAAATAGTTCCGTAAAAGATGCTTTTTGCACTGAGCACAGAGCAATCTCTAAAGCAGCTGTTTGTGAAGATGAAGTACTTATTAAGAGACCTCTGCTTTTCTTACCAGAAGTACTGGAATTTGTGTTATTTAAATGTATATCAATACTTTCATTTATGGAATATCAAGTTAAAGAAATTAAAAGTAGTATACAGACTCATTTCCTATTTCTTGAAGATGTAAAGAGGCAACCAAAAAAAGAGAGGTGAACAAATCAAGAGAGAAAGAGAGAGCATGTGCAAGGCTATATAAGTCACAGACTGTGGAACATGAGCTTCGAAGAACCGAAGAAAAATAACTGTCAATCTAGCTACCTACCATTCCTTCCCTATTTATTTCTTAACTCAGTGGAGAGAGTATGCCAGCAGAAAAGACTCTTGGACGGGACTAGCTGGAATTAGCAAACACTAACAATATCTGGGAAGATATTTAATTCAGTGGAAACTGCACCTATGTTTCCTAAATGTGAGGAGGAATAAATGACCTACACATAAAGCTCCAGAAGCTTTGCCTTTGCAGTATATTTCTCGCCGAAAGTCGCATGTCTCCTCTAGTGGCAAAGCCTTAGGCAGAATTATTTATGGAATATGTAAACTCCAGATGTACAGCATAGTAATTAAAACTTAAGTCTCTGGATTCAGACTAAGAGTGATAAAACCTTGACTCTGCTTTGTTATGCACTGACTGAATTTCGTCAAGTTACCTTTCTTCTCTATGCCTTAGTTTGTGCAGCTATATCTCACAGTTTAAAAAAGATTAAGTAAGCAAAGACAGGTAAAACATTTGGCATACTACCCAGCACAGAGCAGGTGTTAATAAAGACCGGCTATTATCATTACTTAGTCTTGACCACAGTACTGTAATTTGATAATTATAGTTTGAATGAGTTATCTTTAATATGACTACTAAAAAACTAAAATTAGGAAACATACCCTGACATCTACTGAGCAGCCTACAGTCCATGACGGATTTCCCAGTACTTGATTTTGACACAGAAGATGAACTAGTGAAGATTTCCCAACACCTATAAAAGATACAAGAGCACATGAAACATGCTGAAATCAATTATGGCAAAAGTATGACTGAGAATATGCAGTTATGGTATGTATAGTTGTTTAAAGGGAGTTCACACGATACCATTTAATAAGCTTTATTAATAAACAGATAGTTGAGGAAAGTGGGTCTCTAAAATTTCACATCAGAATTACACAAGGCTTGTTAAAACACAGAATGCTGGGTCTTGTCCTCAGAGTTTCTGATTCTGCAGGTCTGTCATGGAGCTCAAACTTTTTGCACTTCTAACAAACTCCCTGGTGGTTGTTAGTTAATGATACTAGTTCAGGGGCCTCACTTTGAGAGCTACTGCTCTAGGACAATTTCACTTGAATAAATCTCTTTCTTGAATGGTTTCATCTATTGAGCCTTTCATCAGAACTGTAGAATATTAACAAATCTTGGAGGTAATCCTCTGTTGACTGACAATGGAGAGAATCCTTCCATAGCACCCTGTTAGATGGTCTTCAAGACTGTTCTTGTACAATGTCTATGACAGGGACTCACCATTTCACAATTCCTATTTAGACACTCTAATTCAACCACATGGAAAAAGAGAACCTTACTCCCTCTTCTATATCACGGCCCTTTACTTTAAGGCAGCACTTGATTTTCTTTTAGAACTCTTGAGTTCAGGACAACCGAGGATTTGGAGATCTGCATGAAGAAGAAAGAAAATGAGCTCTCCTTCATTTAAGTAATCTGTCAAGGGTGAATTAATCTGTCAAGACCAGCATCATTCTAGTTTTAAAATCTTTTCTGACTCCTTGTACATCCATGTATAGTCACTCATTCAATTAATAGCATTTTGATGCCATTATGACAAGCACAGTTGGTGAATCTTTATGCATCATTAGTTGTATCAAAACTTTAGACCATTTCTTTGTGTGTATTATTGTATATGAACATCTCACTTATGTTTATTTTCTATTATAAAAAGTTACCTTTATAGTCTATGGCCATGCTACTCTGAACAAGCCTGATCCCATCTGATCTTGGAAGCTAAGCAGGGTTGGGCCTGGTTAGTACTTGGATGGGAAACTACCTAGGAAGACTAGGTGCTGTAGGTATATAAAAAATAAATAAATAAATAAGGGATTGTAAGCTGACAAGGTCCTTGCAATCTGTGAGGTCAACCAAAGGTTGCCTCACCTAAAAAAAAGAAAAAAAAGTTACCTTTACAAACAATCTAGAAAATATTTTTTAAAAAAGAGAAAAAACCACCTAAAGAGCACTACTGTCATCATGTAGGTTTACTTAATTCCATAAGCAGTTTTTCTATATGCAGGTTTTTACCGTGACTATATACATGGCGTACTTAAAAAACAATAACACGTAAGCCTTTGTTTACACAGCTGGTTCTGTCTGGAATATCCTACCTATGCCCCTCCTCCATTTCTCCTTCTCTATTGGCCTAGTGAATTAATCTGTCAAGACCAGGATCATTCTAGCTATAAAATCTTTTCTGATTAAGCACATCATCCACCATATTCTGGGTCCCCACTGTATTCTCTACATTTTTCTACAGAACGCTTAAAATAGATTATTACACTTGTTTGTTTATAGGTGTTATTCCCTCTGTCTAGTTTTGACTTTTTTGAGGATCAGGGGTTTTACCGATTTTTTTCCAGTGCTCAGAAGAGGGCTGTAATTAGTTTTTATTTAGTGACTAAAATTTTCCATGTTACTACAGAATCTTCCTAAACATGTTTATTGTTTCCACTGTAGTTCAGACATAGCAATTTACTTAACCATTTCCTCATTATTAGATATTTAGGGTGTTTTGAAATTTTCACTATGCTAAGAAAAGATTTGTTTAAACTTTCATTTAAAATTAAAATTATTTCCTTAGTATAATTTCCCAGAAGTGAAATTAATATGTAAAAGGAAATGAACATTTAAAGTTATTTATTTATTTATTTTTGGTGGTGGGTGGCAGTGGTGCTGAAAAGTTCTTGATATATACCAACAACTTTCATCTGGTTACTCTGCCATCAGTCATGCACATTTGCCTGAATCAATGAATGAACTCCTATAAATAGTATGGTCTTGTTGTACCTCAGCAATATCATGTATTTGCTTTCTTCATCTCTGTTAATTTGAAAAGAGAAAAAAAGTAACATCTTGCTTTAGTTTGCATTTCTTTACCTCCAGGTAAAGATATACATTACTATATTTGTTAATCAGTTGTCTTTCCTCTCTTACAAATTACCTATTGATGTGCTCTGCCCATTTATCTATTGAGTTTTAGTGTTTTCAGTTTACATGACTTCTTTATATATTAGTGAAACATTTGGCTAATATATTTCCCCAGGTTTCCCTTTTATTCTTTTCATTTTTTGCAAAGACATTGAAGTTTTTTGTGTACTCAAACTTGGCTTTGTCTTTGTATTTATTGCACAGCATCCATGTACGATCTTTAGGGCATATTGTTTTTTGTATTTGCATGTAAGTTTATGTTGGAGGTATATATCTAGGCATTTAATTACTAGCTTGATGCAAAGCTTGAGCTTCTAGTTAAGCTTAACTGTATCAAAGTAAGCATCTTTATGCAGTAACATTGCATAGCTCTCCATAAATTAACTGCTTTGGGTGATGAGTTGGCTATACAGGAAGAAAAATCGAAGCACCAGAAATAATGGCTATTTATTTCTTTAAGAATTTTTGGAGGTTATAATTCTGTTTTCACCGTTGAACTAAATTAGATTTTAAAAATGCACTGATTTGCTGCGGTAAAAGGCCCAATATAATTAAATAAATATCAACTCCAAATATAGTTGTCGGTAATGTATTACGCTCATCCCTTATCTCTGAAAGAACAAAGAGAAGTCGGTATGTGCAGGTCAGTGAGACTTTCACAATTCCTTACTAAATTATCAAATATCTCTAGGGATACAAAACAAATCTCTAAATCCGAAATCATTCCTTTATATATTGGTAAAGTCTTCAAAATTTCATGAGGGAAATAGGTTGTTATTCAAAAGTAAACTTTGAAGTTTGAATACGAAGGCAGATGAATTGTAAAAAGTATATTCTAACCTGTCAGATAGCAAATCACTGTTAAAAGGGAACTGATAAAAAGGCAACAACTGACTTTGCACATATCGTCTAATATCGGTGAATGTGTGACAAGATCAATCACTTTCCTGATGCACATGGCTGTGTTTTCTGTTTTACAACTAAACTATAATAAAAAAAAAATCTTACTAATTGCCTGATTACTTTTCCACATTTAATAAAGCAGCCAGTTCAACCCTGTTATGTAATGCATTGATTCCACAGTTATAACCCCAGCACCTAATATAGTGCTTGCTATATAGTAGGTAAAGTATTTTTGGAAAAATAAAATCGACTAGTTCCAAGAACATGTAGCACAAACAGATAATGAGATGAAATAGAAAAGGGAATTATGAAAAGAGAGAACACCCACTTCAAATTACATGAAACTATGTTAGCTCTGTATTTCAGTTCTAAATTCTACTTGATACCTACCAAATCCCTTTAGACCACCATTACTTCCCTCAACTGTAAAACTGAGTGATTTTATTAACTTCAGTACCACTTCAAGCTAAAGCACTGGAGTTGACATAAATGGATTTTGTTTAGAATTTCATAATGCAACTTCAAGGGAATTTTAAATATGCTCTCTGTAAAATATTTTGTTAATGTAAGTAATCTTCAGGCAATGTGAAAATGTTCTCAACCTTTTCTTCTCCCCGACAATGTTATTTAGTTCTGTAAGGGTAGTTTTCAAGCTCTTTGGGGTATATCCTCTCTACCTCCAAGCATGAGGAACAATGACTTTGCTCACAACACACATTCAAAGATTAACTTCAAAAAAGCACATCTATGAACTGAAAGGTTAGCATTTATTCTAAATTCTTAAGGAGCATAGGAGGGGAGGCTATGCTGAGAAAGAGAATGATAGTAAGGTGGGAAGAGGAAATGCAGACTTCAATATTTTTCAAATGCCAAGGCGTCAAAAGAAGAATTTTAACACTAGGACTAAAGTGGGCTCAGCTTTAAGTTCTAGCTACTACATATATGGCCCTTATCTTAATTTCTCTATTTCTTGCAATCTAGCATGTAACAGGTTTTCAATTAAGATTAAAGACAGCAAAGAAATCAAGAAGCCCAGCTGACAGTAAAACAGGACTACCATCCAATATTTCATTTTATAATATAGCTTAGTGTTTAAGTACGTGGACTCTGGTTCAAACCGGTTCTGTCATCCACATCTCTCTGCTTCATTTCTCATTTGTAGAATGGGGAAATATGGCTGATCTCAGTATTAAATAAGTCAATATATCAAAGCACTTGGAACAGTTTCATTGTTCTTAAGTGCACGTTTGACTTCTTTAATGAACAAATCTCTTGAAGGCACAGTCCTAACTTCTGTCTTAGCACGGCACCCAATACAATACTCAGTCTCCCTATCTTTTAAAACAAAGGAACTGACAATACACGCTATGCTACGGTCGCCCTGGAGACTGACGTGGAAAAATGGGAAGGCCGAGAAGTACCGGGACTCCGCGCCCATCCGCGGGACGCCATCACTTCGTCAAACAGAACAAAGTCCTCTGGGAAGTGTAGTCTTTCGGCCTTGAGACAGATTTCGGCCTCGGGTCGGAGCCAGTTAGTTGGAGGGGATCGGAAGTAGTAGTTATCGGATAACTCAAAAGTCTCGGGAGCCCCAGAGGTGGGTTAAGCAGCTCACCTGAGTCTCCCAATACCAGTACCTTCACCCGATCCAGGGACGCCATCTTGCTACTGCCTTCCTGGGGTTAACGCCTGTTCCGGATTGTAGGCCAATCAGAGCTGGGTATGGAGGCAAAGCCTTCACTTTCATTGGCCAATCAGTGTAACTGTCTTGATTGACGTCTTCACTGTGCTGATTGGCCGGCTTGGGTAAAAGTAGCGGGTGGTTTCCAAAGCTGGTCGCAGGAATAAAGCGTGTTCTTTGTCGCACGAGTGGCGTGGCGCGTTTAAGCCGGTAGTTGAGGCGCTGAGGGAAGCTGTAGTGGGAGTGTTCGAGGATTCGCTTTGGTAAACCTTATTCCCTGTTCCTTGTTCTCGGTTCCCTGTCCCGGAGTCGCATTTCATGATTTCTCCCCCTTTTCGCTCCTTCTTAGTTACCCTCCTCCCCTTAGTCCTTCAAAGAACCATTGACCCCGGAGCGGCCCTTGTGCGACCTCGGGTAGGACGAGCTCGGCTGTGCCGAGTGTGGCCCCTGGACTCGGTCGGCAGAGTCCAAGGTAATTTGGGGTCTCCCAGTGGAGAGGAGTGAACATTACTGAACCGGCTCGTGGAGAGCAGCAGGGTTTAGAGGTTTCGCGGTGGTAAGCAGCTTCATCTATGAAGGCGTGGAGAGTACCATGAAATAATGGTAACAGAAAACCACAGTTAAATGTATAGGATCCAGGTTTTTCTAGAACTGAAATAGTAGTATACTGAAATAGCCTAACTGCTCCATCTTTCTCCTTTTATTTTACACCCTGCAGTCAGCATAATCTCAAAATTGCAAATTTAACCCTGTTACTTCCTATATAAAACCATTTGAAGTTTAAGAGTGTTTCCAATAGTCTGTCTTTTTCTACTCTGGAAGCAGCAGTGGAGAAAGTAAATTAGGGGGAAGCCGGCAGGGTAGGCATGTTGGAAGAACACGTGCTTAGCAGATCTATTGAAAGTTTTATGGAAGTACTTGACTAACTGTGCTGGATGCTGGAAAGTCGGTGGTGAGCAAGATTAAGTTCCTAGAGTCAGAGATACTCATGGAGAAGTACAATTCTATTCACTGCAACAAAGAAGTTTGGGAAAGAGCTATGGGAATTTGTGAAAGGGCAAAATACTAAACTACTAAGGGGAATCCGGGAAAGTCTCTCTGGGGAAATGTCATTTGAGATGTGAAGGATTATTAGGAGAAGAGAATTCAGGCAGAGAACAGCGTGTGCGAAGGCCTGGATGTGGGGAAGACATCTGTGGCTGCTGGAATTGAGATGAGGCTGACAAGAGTAGACAATGTGGAGAATGCATTCATTTCCATTTTGTTTCTCCAGCTCTACCTGGTATACAGTAGTTCTTCAGTGTTTGTATGATTAGAATACATGTGATTCAAAAATAAAATCAACTGTGCTGGGCAGGGAGGTAGGTGAGACTGGAAGGTGACTGAGACTCTGAAGCTAGAAAGAAGAAACGAGCTTACCCTAGGAGGTTCCACTCTTAAAAATTTCTAGAAGCAGCCAAGCTCTTTTCCTGTTTAAAAGTGACAGCTGCTTTTCAGCTTCAGCTTACTGTTTCCATGTGGGAACATGGTCTCACTTTTCCTCAGATATTTCCCATTTTCAAGAGGAGCTGAAAGTTGAGATTTATGTGAAATCCCACTATTTTTAAATGTTGACAAATACAGAAAATTTGCAAAACATTTCTTGGGTCAGATAGTGTGGCAGAGGCTGCCACTTTGAGACTTCTGACCTAAGTAATGGAGAGATTGAGTAGGAGGGTAAGCATATGTGGAGAAGTTGAAGTGATGGAGGAGAGAAGGCAGTGTGGACAGGAAGGAAGATTTTAGAATGTAGAGATTTTGAACAAGGCGACACATCATGACTCCTTTCCTGAGCTTCAGTTTTGTTTGTTCAGCTACCTGTTGGACATCTTTGCAGGAGTGGTATTTCCTCAGACAGGCAACTAAAAGTGAATGCTGCATTTTTTACCAAATCTGTTCCTCTTCAGGTATAACCTATTTTTCATAGTACTTTTCCTGGTTACACTGGCTTAAAACAAATAGCTATATGTTATTATTTAATAAAATATTATTGTTTGATGGGTATAGTGTTTTTTATGAGATGAAAAGAGTTATGGAGATGGATAGTGGTGATAGTTATACAACAATATGGATGTATAATACCACTGAACTGTATACTTAAAAATGGCTAATTGGCAAATTTTGTGTGTATTTTACCACAATAAAACATTATTTAAAAAATAGTTATTTAAAATTTTTCTATTCTCTTATTCTATTTCTAGTATGTTCTTGGGTCCTTTTGATTTTGTTTCTATAATAGTTTCATTCATCTTGTTCTCCTGCAAGTTTTTGCTCTTTCTTAGTTGAGATTTGATTAGCCCCTAATGCTTCCACAGTGCCTCCACCTTCATTCACCTCAATCCATTACTCATATTATTGTAAGAGTCACTTTTCTAAATAGATCTTACTATGAATGCCAGTACTTAATGGAACTCTTATGATGCCAACCCCAAAATGAGATAATTCATGTACATGAATTAATCCCCATATCAACTCCACAAGGAAGGCCCTGTTAATCACTTTTTATACATGAGGAACCTGAGACAGAAGTTTCCAAGGTCTCAGGCTAAGAAATACTGGAACTGAGATTCAAAACCCCAAACCATTAGACTGCAGAATCCTCATGTTACTCCCTTGCTGAATAAGTGGCAAAGGGTCCTACCCCTACAGGGTGTGCATCTGCAGGATATGTAATAGCCAGGCACCAGATTTGTGTGGAGCAGTGACTTTTTCTGTTTATTAGAGTCCCCTAAAGAGCTTCTAAAATAAGATGATGCCCAGTCTGACCCTCCCAGACCAGCTGAAACAGAATCTCTGGGAATGGGACCAAGGTGGGTACTTTTAAATGTTCCCCAGATGATTCTACTTTACAGCTAGTGTTGAAAACCATTAGTTTCAGAAAATAAGAGTGTATGCAGTGGGAGGTTAGAGGAATACAATAGTAGGAAATAATACTGGAAAAAGTAGATTATTTTGACATTTGTATGACATCTTTTCATCTGTTGGATGTTTCTGAAGCCATGAATTGTGTTCTGCTAATTGTTGAGCATATAAAAAACAAGCAAAGCAAAACTGGGTTCAAGTACAATGTATAGACTAAATTGGAAAGGAGGACAAAGTGCATGTGATAGTATGTTATGATACTACTTTTGTGTTGAACCCAGGCACTTCCTTGATGCCCTTGAGCCTTGGGCTAGCAGGAAGTCTCTAAGACCACAGGTTTGGATCTAGGTGCTACTTTGTTTTCTCATATGTAGTCATGCTTGAGTATTTAACAATATGAAATATTATTATTACTATTTTTTCTTTATTATAGGTAGGGCCTATAACATATATAATTTTCTGCTAATTTTTAAACCAATCATATATATTATTATAAAAGTGAATGAATTGGTGTAAGCAAACATAGTCTTTCTTAGCCTTATATTCCCCCCTCAAAAAAAATGTGTATAGATTGGTTATTTAGGAATATCTTTTTAGTATAGTACTGCAGATATAAAAATATTTCTTGTAAAAAGAGGTATTGAATCTGATAAGGTTGATAACCTCTGATTTTAAATAAAAGATTCAGTAAAAACTAGTGTTAACAGCATAGGATTCCCTGTTGAAATAGTTCAGTGGGATGTCTTAAAAATTTCCCTATGGTGTAGAGAATTTCATTTGACATAGTCTGTGTGAATAGCCTGACCGTTTTTAGGTTGGGACATATTAAATCAATATGGAAGCTATTCTTATTAACAAGTCCTTTCTAAGCACTTTACTTAACATTCTCATTTGTTCATCACAACAACTTCATTGAGGTTAGTATTATCTTATTTCTCAAAGAGTAAAGTGTGGCTTGAGGTGGTTTAAGGAATTTGTCAGGATCACACAGCTACTAAAACACAAATTAACTTTGAATTCTAAAGTCCAGGCTTTTTAATAATCACATGAAAGTCTAGTGCATACCATTTTGGGCTTCTAAAAGACAGCTTTTGGGTCATGACATAAGAATTGGATACAATTACTTTGTTCTGCAAAGGATCCAATATTTAAGTATATCTTTTTTTAAATTAAATTAATTATTTTAATAGTGACATTTGTTAATAAAATCCAGTAAGTTTCATCTGTACACTTTAACAGTATTTTTTTTTTTTTTTTTATTTAAGAACTGTATGGTGTTCAGTTAATTGGTCATCAAATTTAACTGCAAGGTTGGTAAAACTGTTTGGATCTAAGTGTTACCTTCATATTTATAACAGTAATTTTGCCAAACACCCCAACTGGTGACTATTTATGTGTTGTTTTGTTGTGATTTTTATTGTGAGAGCATGACTATGTAAAGCATTCTAGAATCTATCTTGGCAGAAAATCTTTATTTGGGAAATAAAGACACTCTAAGGATAGGCTAACTGTTAGGCTTCTTGGGGGGTTTCCAGCATTCCCAAAGATTTATAGCATCAAGAATAGTGAGACTTCATTTAGCTTTTTTGTGTTTCTCTTTCTGAAATAAATTGTGCTTCATATAATTTATCATTGCTATAACAAATAAGTTGTTTTTTGGAATCAAGCACACTGTAGATCATGAAAATCGCCATTTAAGAAACATGCTAAGCTTTTTAGGTGTAATCTTTTGTGTGCTCTAGAACAGTGGTCCCCAACCTTTTTGGCACCAGGGACCTGGTGCACCTATGAGAACCTAATGCCTGATCTTAGGTAGAGCTGAGGCGGTGATGCTAGTCCTGGGATGCTGCTGCAAATACAGGTGAAGTTTCCCTTGCTGGCCTGCTCGTTCAACAGCCACTCACTTCCTGCTGTGCAGCCCAGTTCCTAACAGGCCATAGACAGTACCCAGGGATTGGGGACCCCTGCTCTAGAAGGAAAATCTTGTTCTCTGTTAAATGTTTAGGCATTTAAGTCTTTTAAAATGATGAGTACTTTTATGACACTCCAAGGTAGCTACCTAATGGGTTGATTATTCTAGATTTAAGATGATTATTATGTTCTTATTATGCCTGGGTAATCTTCTCTTTTTTTCCAAATTTAGTACGTTTAAAGTTGAAGTTTGCTGCTCAAAATGGCAGACCCAGATGTCCTCACTGAGGTTCCTGCAGCACTGAAGAGGTTAGCCAAATATGTGATCCGGGGGTTTTATGGCATTGAGCATGCTTTGGCCTTGGACATCTTGATCCGGAACCCTTGTGTGAAAGAAGAGGATATGCTGGAGCTGCTCAAGTTTGATCGGAAGCAACTTCGATCAGTTTTGAATAATTTAAAGGGAGACAAGTTCATCAAATGCAGAATGAGGGTAGAGACTGCTGCAGATGGGAAAACCACTCGCCATAACTACTACTTTATCAATTATCGTACTCTTGTTAATGTGGTAAAATATAAATTGGACCACATGAGAAGGAGGATTGAAACTGATGAAAGAGATTCCACCAACCGGGCTTCCTTCAAATGTCCTGTCTGTAGTAGTACTTTTACAGACTTAGAAGCTAATCAGCTCTTTGATCCCATGACAGGTGAGATTTTTCCAGTTTATAAATTTTTCTTTTAAGTAACTTTTTAAAATAAAATATGTATCCCTTTTTTTTTTTAATTGATTCATCTAATTTTTAAACCAGTTATGTACATCATTATAAAAGCGAATGAACTGGTGTAAGTCAACATACAATCTTAGTCTTATTGTCTTGTTTGATCGTCATTCTACTTTCGGAAGCTTTTGCAAAGCCTTTCTCCTTCACAAGGGAGTGTACTCTTCCACCCTGGCCTTCCTACTTCTGTTCCCACCTCTACCCCTATTTACAGCTGCAGCCTAATCTGAAGGGTTGACTTCTACCACTTTGAGGCAACTTTACTATTGACTCTTCATTCAACAAATATTTGAGCACTTATTTGTGCCAGTCACTGCCACAGTTACAATACAGTATATTTAAATGCTTTGTTAGTGGAAGTATAAAGTGCTATCAGGAGTGTATAACTAGGGCATCTAATCTGGAAATGCCTCTGGAAGAGGTTAAATAATAACTGAGACCTAAAAGATAAGAGTTAGCCAGATGAAAAAAGAAGGGCACCCTTTCCAAGTTAACAAGTGGTTAGCTATTTAGTCTCTTAACCATTTATTAGTGGAAGAAAATTGTCAACATGATACATAATTTGCTTAATTTAAATACTTTAGTTTTAAGGATTTTTTAAAATCAGAATTTAACAAAACACGCATTTTCTAAAAATGCAATATGTTTAGCATTAACATGAGAAACTTTAAAGTGCTGAGTTGTATAGCTGTTTTGTTATTTGTAAACTGGCAAAAAGACTAGTTTTGCTAATTACTCAGTGGATCAATTTTGTATTACTTTCTGGAGGTCAAAATCTGTAGGAAGAGTCAATGATGTTAAGTTGGATTGTCCCTTTGTTATGGATACATTCAAGAGTATAGCTTACTTTTTAGTTCATAGATCTGTCTTTTTAAAAACTTTGAAAATGTAATTTAAACTTTCACATGAAGTGTTATGTTGTAAAAAAAATTACAGATTTGTGTACATGTTTAATTTTTAGATTTTTCTATATGTTATGTATTGTACATTTTAAAGAATTTTAAAATTATTTTTTAATTGGGAAATAATCCCAATATTAATTAAGATAATTGACAAAAAGAGCTAGAGATAGCCTATGATTTTTTTTCCTTATCAACTGTGAAGTCATTTTGGATGAAAAGTCATTCAAAGAATTCCCATTTGAATTAACTGTTTAATTTGAATCTAACTATTTACCTTGAATGGGCTTAACTAGGGAGTATCTTCATTATAACCATCCTGAGTATAAGAATTGCTTGCATGTGCTATAGAGGAAAGTTGTAGAATATATCTGGAGCGCTTTCAGAATAGACTAGGAAAGTATCATGATTTTTGCTGTCCACTCTGACAAATTTTTAAAGGAACTCTGGGTTTTGGTTTTGTGATTCTCTGCAGATGTTGGTGTTACAGTGGTCATCTTCATCACTCTTGACTGCAGTGGAAGATGTTATTCTGTCCCTCAGAGAGGGCAATCTAAAGTAATGTTCTTCTACTACATTTATTCATCATTTGATTCTTGTTTAATTTTGTGAAACTTTCTAAAAGGAAGTTATTCCACTACTTATATATCAGTATTTAGATGATGCTCTTTGAATTTCACCTAGAGTTAGTGTTTGAATGAAGCTAGTTGTAAACAACAGGTGGGTGGCCTGTGGAAGAGATGGCCTAACATCCAAATATAGTCAAGTTTGTTTAAATCAGAGAGTTGAGATAGGGTAGGGGACATGAAAACATTTTATGAAAGAGAATTAAAACTGAAACAGTTGTTTCGTGCCCAGTCTGGACAAAGACTGTATTTTTATTTATGAAGGTTATGGTCAGCAGGTGGAAAGAAGGAGTTCAGGAGAGCAAGAATAAGTCACTTCACCTTGGTATCACTCAGCGGGGTTGCCCTGGTCAGCCAACACTAATCGTCAGTTTAATTGGCAGTTATGTCCCTACAGTGAAGCCTGAAGTATCATGATTGGAAATTCTTATCACTAGGGGCCCTTGTTCTGAGAATGTACTTGCCTTTTGATTATAATTTGGCTTTACACTTGGACTTTCCTTTAAGGAGCGAATGTGCTGATGGGGTGATATTAGGACCCAGTCTGCTTGTCAGTTCTGGCATTTTGGTTTTTTTTTTTTTTCGTATTAATAACTTGACACACTCTCTTGGTCTATATATTCCCTTTAGAAACTTTGGTCTTTTTCTCTCTGCTCCCTTCCTGTTTTGCTCAGTATTCGTTCCTTTCCCACTCATTTTGAAGAAGGTGGGAATTAAACATTTGGTATGTATATCAGAGGAGGAGGAGGAGAGAACTTTTTCTGCTGTAATATTGTAATATTTATGCTCTGTTTAAATGGATAAATTATAGTTTTCATTCTAAGCTCAGTCCTGTACAAAGCTATTCTATTTTCTAGTTGCTATTGCAGATTGACTATATTTATGACCAAATGTTGGGGCTTTCTGACAGGTATATATTTCCATTCCCATCTCAACAGTTATTGGGTTGAACCATTATATTATCAAATAGGGGGTGTTCAGGAATTAGATTCGAAACCTCTGGACTACTGCTTCCCTGATAAAAAGTTCTTAACTCAAATGTATGGGCCGCTCTTTGCCATTGGACAAAGGGTAGTGATGAGCATCTGGAAGTTCTGGGCTTAGGAAACAGTCTAGCAAGAATTCTTTTACCATTGTTAATTCACACATAAGCCAGTAATTATAGCTTTTCCCTACCCCATCTCTCTTGTCTCTAAAGATTGTAGGTTCTCTCAAGAACGTAGTTTCTCTCCACACTTTCCATGAGATTTTGCCTTTGGTGTTCTTGGGGTGAACTCTCTCCAAGTGTTTGATGCCTATGTGTGTGAGATAATAGAAAATATATGTTGGTTTCTGTGTAGTTTCTTGGGGACTTTCTAAAACCTTTGTGATTACATAAATGATAAGAGCACTAGGAGCATTTTTTTGTTCTATTTGGTCTGAAACCATTGTAATTTCCTGGGTGATAGGACTGTCTGTTTTTATAATGAGGCAACTCTGGGTGGGCTTCTAGATGGGGGCTGGTCACCAGAAGGACCAAGACATGATTAGAAGCTTGGAATTTTCAGCCCTGCCCTCCATTCTCTTGAAAAAGGAGAAGGGCTGAAATGGAGTTAATGATTATCATGCCTACATGATGAAGCCTCCATAAAATCCCAAAAGCATGAGATTTAGAGAGCTTCTGAGTTGGTGAACACATGTTGATGCTGGGAATGTGGCACGCCTGGAGAGGGCATGGAAGCTATGTGCCCCATACCACATACCTTGCCCTACACTGCTCTTTCATCTGGATATTCATCTGTATCCTTTATCATATCCTTTCATAAACTGGTAAACATATGTGTTTTCCTGCATTCTGTGAGCTCCTCTAGCAAATTAACTAAACCCAAGGAGGCGGGGTCGTTGAAACCTCTAATCTATAGCCAGTTGGTCAGAAGCACAGGTGAAGTTGGGGATGGGGTGGGCAGGGAGCAGTCTTGTGGGACTGAGCCCTTAACCTGTGGAATCTGATGCTGTCTCCAGAGAGACTGTCAAAATTGAGTTGAATGGTAGGACACCCAGCTGGTATTGCAGAGAATTGCTTGGTGTGTGGTAAAAACACACATTTGGTGACCAGAAGTGTCAGAAGTAATGTTTTGTGTATGACTAGTAAAGGAGACACCCAGGGAAGAAATACACAGTAGAGGAGAACTTGGTTTTTCCCTATGTACAAAGGAGAAAGACTGAGGTTTTTCCATTAGACTGTGTATATAGATACTTTATTTCATTAAAATGGAATAGCCTAGCCTTTGCCCACTAGTCCCTGGTTCCAGAAACTTAATCAGGCAAAACTAGCTGTTTTACTTCCTGAAATATGGGAAGTTTATGTAATCAAAACAAAAACAACATGACATGAAATTCCTCAGATTAGCAAAATAGCATTTTGTTGAAGATTTTTCCATAAATGTTCATAAGGGATATTGATGTATAGTTTTATTTTTTTGTATAGTTTGTCTAATTTTAGAATCAGGGTAATGGTGGCCTCATAAAAAGAATTATGGAGTCTTCCCTCTTCTTGAATTTTTTGCAATAGTTTGAGAAGAGTAGGTATTAATTTTTCTTTGAATGTTTGGTAAAATTCACCTATGAAGCTATCTGATCCAGGACTTTGGTTTTTTGAGAGTTTTTTGATTACTGATTCGATTTTGTTGGTGGCAGTTGGTCGGTTCAGATTTTCTGTTTCTTCTTGACTCAGTCTTAGGAGATTATGTTTTCAGGAGTGTATCCATTCCAGATCGTCCAATTTGTTGACATATAATTACTCATAGTATTTTCTTGTATTCCTTTGCATTTCTGTGGAGTCCATAGTTACTTCTCTTTCATTTCTGATTTTATTTATTTAGGTCCTCTCTTTTTTCCTTGATGAGTCTAGTTAAAGGTTTATCAATTTTGTTTGTCCTTTCAAAGAATTGGCTATTGGTTTCATTAATCTTTTGTATTGTTTTTGTAGACTCATTTCGTTTATTTCTGCTCTGATCTTTATTATTTCCTTCCTTCTGCTCACTTTGGCCTTTGTTTGCTATTCTTTTTCTAGTTCTTTTAAGTAAAGTTGGATTGTTTATTTGAGCTTTTTCTTGTTTCTTGAGGTAGGCCTGTATTGCCATGAATTTCCCTCTTAGGACTGCTTTCGCAGGTTTTGAGTCATTGTGTTTCCATTTTCATTTATGTCTAGGTATCTTTTGACTTCTTCCTTGGTCTCATTGTTAACCCACGCATTGTTTAGTAGCATGTTATTTAGCCTCTATGTGTTTGTGTATTTTCTAGTTTTTTTCTTATAGTTGAATTCTAGTTATATACCATTGTGATCAGAGAAAGTGGTTGATATGATTTCAGTCTTCTTAAATTTACTGATACTTGTTTTGTGGGCTAACGTGATCTATCTTGG